AATGAGACAAAAACTTAAATCACCCAATGGATTTGTATACACTCCATATGGAAAGTAACTAGGACCATACAATTTGTTTCTTGATAAAAACAAACTGGTGCAGTGGTAAAAAAAATTAGTTTTCGAGTATGAGAACATGGGATTGAGTCCAAGAGCAGCTACTTTGTGCAAAAATGGCAAAAGTCCATATGCTGTTTATCCCTCACAAGACACCACACCAGATTGCTGGAACTAGTATTGCATAATGGTCTTCTAATAAAAACAAATGGGTCAGAAGAAATTTAATGAGATAAAGTACAAAAAGATGGAAGACAGAGAAAAACATACCCTGGCTAGTCACTATTCATCCCCCCAAAAAATGATAGCACTAAAGAAAAACAGAAAAGTTATAAAGAGAGGATCATATCTGAATACAATTCATTCCCCATGCATCTTCTGGTCAAGGATTCTGCCAACTCATTCAATGATCTTCAAATGCAAGGAAAGTATGACCAAATAATCAACCAAGATAGTGCTCCTTCACCTCTCAAGGACTGTAGGTCTTCATAGGATGAATTTTATTTTTAAAAAGAATGACATTTGGTTTTTGTGGTTGCTACTGTAAAGGTGTTTTGCCCTGCCCCCATTATGAATTTTCTAGATTAGTGCATAACTGAAACACTTGACTTGCAATGTAAATCAAAGCCTGTATCAACTATGAAGGTTAAAAAGGGCTGGTTTCCAACAACATTGTACATTTCTGTTCATGGTCTCCTCTGCACGGCTTGGTGTCTCTCTATGTATTCCACACATGCATCATTGTACACTTCTATTCAATCATTTCAGTTCCAGCCCATAATATCGAGGACAAAGTGAACCTAAGAAACTGCTCTGGAGTGGTAGAAGAACATTGTATAGGACCAGCTATTCTTGGTGTAAAGGTAAAATCTCAGGCTAAACGTGAGAACATGGGCTTGAATATGAAGGCAGCCACTTTGAGCCAAATAAGGCCAAAGGATAGGACCATATCCAATCTATCCCTCCCAAGACTCTAGATAATTAGGAGTTGACTTTGAAACACCTCTAATTTTGTATTGTGGCAATCAAGTTGTGACTAGCACTAAGTATATTGAGGTTGGTCTTCATTTCATCTGGGAAAAGGTTATGTTTGGTGATATTTTTTTGCCATTTGTAAATCAGAAGATCAATTCGATGATTCTTAGAAAAGGAGTTGTGAAGGTACTAAAAGATAATATTTTCATCAAGCTGGGCATAATAAATATCTATGCTCAGCTTGAGAACTGTTGGGTTTTTACCTAGTTTCATTATATGTTATTTCTTTATTGTGTCGGGGCATAATTATCCTACATTCTTACATACATCTTTTTCCTTTTTTAGAATCCTAAATACCATAATGATTCTATTTTTTTTTTTACCAAAACCCCCTGCATCTTCTTTTCTCAATTTAAAATAGATAAGTCCTCTGCTCCTGAAATGCCAAAGTTGTTTCTAGTAAAATTTATGATCACCAAATGTAGGAATCATATCTTTCCTACTTCTAACCATAGAATGATTAGGATCTTAGATTTACCTGATAAACAAGTCTACAGGAATGCTAGTTATGAGTCATTGTCAGGTCTACCAGGAATATTCCTAATATCTTCTTAATGATAAATGGTCTATGGCTAGTGATGATGCATGAGATTCGGGTAATAAGAGCTTATAGTATCTCATTCAAATGTTGTTCAAATAAAATAACATATAAATGATTTTCAATGGGACACAAATATTATTTTCTGAAGTTCCCAAATTGGAAAAATCTTATTTTTTTAGAAGAATTGTGGTTTGCTTCCATATGTTCTGTACATCAGCTGTATCCTTCTTCCTCCTGTAGTTAAAGTAGTACCATCGTTTGAGTAGGATACTACCTCACAAAAGTATCATCTAATCCTGGAGCTGGTGACATTGTAATGGGATTTTTGGGATCTGTAATTATTTCTTTTGCTTTTTCAATGTTTAAACAAAGAAAGGTAACAAGCAATTTTCATTTTGTGGAGTTCAAGTTTGTGGAGGACATGGTTGTTTCATTTTGTATATGTTGTAGCTAGCTTTTAATTTTCAAGTGAACTTTATGGTATGGTTTGGTAGACCAAAGCATAATGATAAGGTGGAATTCATGCATGGATGGCACAATTATTCTCTGGAAAATTCCTTTGTCCAAAATTCACCAAGTTACTTGATCATAAGAATGCAGCTAATGGCACCATATGGAAGGTATGAAGGGAAGCCTAGGAATGTAAGAGACATACAAGATGGGATTATTTATTTGTATGCACCATATGAACCAGCTTGCTGTGTGTATACAAAGAACACATGAGGAGTCATATATATATATATATATATATATATATANATATATATATATATATATATATATATATATATATATATATATATATATATATATATATATATAGTGACCGTTATCTAACTGTTGGGATAAGGCATGGATGATGATGATGATGATGTGATGATGATGAATGTTATCTAATCTCCCTCAAGATGTCTCTATTCAAGATTCTTCAATCATTTCAGCTTCAGCCCATAATACTGAGGACAAAGTGGGCCTAAGAAACTGCTCTGGAGTGGTAGAAGAACATATTGAAATGAAGTTCATTCTAGAAGCATCAAAAACATGCTTTCTACTATTGCAAAGGAGTTGCCTATTAAGGAATGGACAAATTGGGATTCTCTTCTGATAGAAAATGGAAAGATCCTATCTTTTGCTGCTCTGTAACTCCCATGGCTGCTGGAATTGAATAGAGGGGTGGAGTATGGGAAAACAAGTATTCCTAGTGCAAAACAATCCTGATGCAAAGCAGTATATCAGCATGAGAACACAAGCTATGGTGTCTATTCTGTCGTGGTTGGCAAGGAATAATATTGCTCCCAATGACTCACTATGTGAACTAGAACGTTTTTTATTTAGGTTGCGTTCGGTTGGAATGCAAATGCTGAACCATTGCAAATTTTCACTATGGTTCAGATTTGCATTTGTTTGGTAAGGGTTCAAAAATACATCAATTTTTTACGCAAAAATGTGTATGGACTAAGATTTGCATCGCAAATAAGTGATAATATTGCTTCTTAAAAACCAAAGAAAATTTTGCTCTCGTCGTCTGTCTAAGTAAATAGGCATACCCATTGCATTGATTTCGACTATTTTCTCAAAAGCCCTCTTCAAGAGTTTGAGAGAGAAGAGAATGATTCTGAGATACGATAGAGGTAACGATCTCTGCCTTTGATTTCTGTAAATGAGAGAAGTAACTCTATTCTTACTTCGAATTCACTGATCTACCTTATTATCCAAATTCACTGATCTACCTTTATTTTCAGAGAGGTAAGTTTGATCGTTGAACACTGCTGAATTTCTTCTCTCCTTATAATTAGTTCAATGAGTTCTATCATTTGCTTTTGATTTCTTATCAATGTTCTAGCTTTTTGACATGATTTCTTGTTCAGAAACCATTTATCTTTGCCAATAAATAGTGATAATATATTTTGTGAAAATGAAAATGGCACCGATCTTCAGTTTTCATCTCATTATCTGTTAATGCCTAGTAATTTCTCAATCTTTTTCTCTCCTGTTTAGTATTACTCATTATCCTCGGGACTACTCTCTAATGAGCTTTGCGCATTGGTTTTGCTCTAAGTGTTTGTGTTATCAAGAAATAAATAAACTGAAATTAAAGGAAAGATGCTATGTTTTGCTCCAAGTGCTTTTGGTTTTGAAGTGTTAAGAGCCAACACCTTTCACTTTGCACCACAAATTGTTAGAGGCAGGCGCCTCAAGCCACTGTACTTTTCAAGGGAAATAGATTCTTTAAGACGGGGTAGAATCAGTGAAATGAGTAAAAAAAACAATAGAAGCTATTAGGGTTTAGGGATAATTTGAGCTTTGAATTGAACTGTTGAAGCAGAAAAGTAGAACATGCGAGTTTTCTTTAGTCTCAGAAAGCTCGAAGTAGGATCTGAAATTGTTGTTGCATGTTGCCTAGAAAATCCATATCCTCAAGTGGTTAAAACCAAAGAACATGTGAGTGCGTAGGTTCAAGCAGGAGATTTTTTTTTCTTCAAATTGCTAGTTTTCTATGGTTGATAACCCATAGCTTTATAACGGTTGAATAGAATTACCATCAGCGGATCTGCTATGGTTGGAGTGCTCACCACTGTGCTCTTACTATAGTTCTTTTTCATTGTCAACATGCACTCTATCTCCTTGGCCAGAATTATTTCACTTATTAGTTTCTTTTCTTATTTTCATCCTTTATTTTTTTATTAGTACCATGTAGTGGATGATGGGTGATGTTGGTCAGTGCGGATTTAATTTACTAATCATTATTAGGATTACTATTTAATGGATTCTTTTTATTTATTTAATTTGATGAACGATTATGCTTAAAAATTAAATATGAAAATAAAATTGCATTGATGTATAAAGAGAGGAAAAGAGCCTTGCCAAAATGCTATACAAATAATAGAAGACATCTAGTTTTGGAACCTTCAATCACATGCAAGTAAACTTGATTGTATCATCTTGTTTTCTAGTGTACTAGTGTTAAAACTCCCATAGGAGACATATGTAGAAAAAGTTGCTGCTCCACATGAGGAATTAACAAGTTTCTTTTGTAGCAATAAATATTCTTTGTGAATCTAAAGATATAGCATATGAATCTAGGTGGAATTTTATTGTTGGTTATATGTTCAATGATAATAAATTACAGGCTTCATTGACCAAAAATTCTTTGCCCTGAAGGCAATGAAAGGTGTAATATATGTTTTGATGATTTCCTTTCCCACAAATCATTCATTCTAATTTGGTAATTTAGATTAGTATTGGATGGTTCGGTTCCGATTGGTAACACCTTTCCTGATTAGATTTCAATCAGGAGAAGGAACTTTGGAACCTAGAGTTTAGACAGTTTATGTTACATGCGACATCATAGTATAAGAGTCTCTCAGGTCAAAACATAGGATTCAAATTGGTGAGAGAATCCCGAAACCATCTAATGTAAGAGAACCCAAGTGGGCACATGGTGTTTCCATGGAGATATATCTTCTTCCAATTACATCAAATACAGAGGTATTATTACAAAATTATTGTCATTGGAGGCCCAAAAGGCCATTAACACAACTGCAAGGTTTATGATTTCTTAAGCTACTACATCTGCAAAAGAGGAAACCTTCTTAGTAATATAAACAAGATCTCCCACCTTAATAACTTTTCCCCTTCCCTTGAGTGAGTGATTCCTTGCATACTAAATTAATTCTGGCCAAAGAAAACCTACAAACACCTTAACCATTTAATAACCTAAAAACACATTAGCATTTAAATTAGATATACATTCTTGCACAACTCAAGTCAATTCTCTTACCTTGTCCTGATGCTTTCGGCCTGGAAGCAAGACTATGTCTGACTGGAATTTCATAAGTGTTTCTGTTGGCTCAGGTCCTACAATGCCATTTTCTTGATTGATTGTGGGTACCTGATGAAAATAAGAATTTTATTTGTTCAGTTGTAATATTAGAATCTTGTGATCCTCACCAAGCACAACATTAATACACTGTATGTTCAACGTCATTTCAAAACGATGTTGATCTTAAAAAGGAATATATTAAATAAGTGGTAAGGATAACTTTCTACACTGCAGCGTGAAAATAGGTTGACACCATTAAATGTCAACTTGTGCTTATTTTGATTTTAGTTTGCAAATCTAATGAAAAAGGATCACATCCATCCATCAACAAGGATGCTGAGAAATTCATAGAAAAACAACTTATCAGCTCTCTAAGCCATGTTGATTAACCCATGATTTGATGTATGGATATAAAGCATTCATTATCGACATAAAGATGTAATAGAATGTCCAACTATGCATCCCATTAATCAGATGGTTACGAACTTTACTTAAGAAAGACTTGTCATCATGTTGTTGTATTTGTATTGCACTTGTTATCCAACTTTGGACGGCAAGGCTTCCCTTAAAATGACTGCAAATTTTACTTTACCTTGTCCCAAAAAAATGACTTCAAATTTTTTTCATAAGTAAAATGATAGAAATCATTCTGCTGATTATTAAATAGAAATAAATAAACTAAAGAGATAAAGAAAGAGAAAGTATTAACACACTTCTCAAGTTGTAAATGCTTCCATCTTGTTGGATATATGCTCTAAGTCTGAGCTTTGAATTCTTGAAAAGTAATGGGCAGCTGATAAATCTCTTTTTTGACCCACCTAAATATTTGGATTTTGGAATATAGTTACCTTCATGTTTATTGTCCTAGATGCATCATTTTTCTCCTTTTCATGAATATGATGCATATATAGTATCCATAAATAGTCTTGTTGAAAATAAAATGTCTTAAATTTTTCCTTTCCAAATGTTGCTTGTTAGCTGATTTAGCTGTTTGTGTACTTAGGTCCCTTTTCAAAGTCCTAATTTCAAGTTCCTCGACTTGAGCAAGAAGGTGAAGCTTTAAGGCAACATTTCCTTTCTTTGCGGCCTCAAGCTTCAACTGGATATCAAAAACAAAAGCAGCCTCAAGTTTTAGAGCTTCAACTTGGGTTTGGAGCTCAACAACTTGGTTCTCAAGCTCAAATTTCACAGTTCCCATTCACTGGCTTCTTTTTTTCCCTATTTTTCTGTTATTAAAGTGAAGGTGTCTCTGACACCTTCATTTCCATCTAATTCAAGACTATAAAGCAGAGATTCAAAATGTAGTGTTTGATTCCAGCATTTGCATTCTGATGTAGTATAGGAGAAGGCCAATAAGTTCTATGCAAGTTGGAACCATTCCAAGACACATAAGAAGCAAAGATGATGCCACCATCCCAGCTTAGTAAATATTTACTGATATAGCATCGTCACAAGATTTCTATCTTATTTCGTTTTTACCAAGTTGGCACCATCACTAAGTTTCTATCTTAGTTCGTTTTTACCAAGTTAGCATTATTTCGAATTTATATTCAATTAGGACTTTCCTTTTGAAAGATTTAAGTAGAATTCTATTTTGGAGTGTTTTCTTAGATTAGGATTTTCTTTTCTAAGGAGTTTTAGTAGGATTCTATTATGAGTGTTTTCATATTAAGAATAGGAGCCATAAGGGTGTATGCCTATATAAAAAGTAGCTAGGGGAAGGCTAAGGCAGTTCTCTTGTTATCAATTTTCTCTTAGTTATTTAGTGAAGAATTCTTCTTCCTAAAATTTGACTTATGCTCTTTTCTTTGAATCTTTTCTTATGTGTTTCATTTTCATACTGCGTCAGTTGGTATCAGAGCTCAAGTTGATCCTTCTTCGGATTATGGCTCCTAAGAAGAAATCAATAACTCACATCATGGGGAAGGAACTTAACAACAAAACACAAAAAGAGATGGCAGAGTTGAGAAAACAAGTCGAGGCACTTGCTCAGGAGGTGAAATCGTTGTGTTCCTGATTGGAAATAGGGGTCAGCGACTCCAACGCAAGTATCTCCACAAGTTCCCTTTCATCGTCAAGGCAAGCAACTAGATCAGCTGTAGTTGTAGGTAGTGATCAAAGACGGTGGGAAACAGGTCTCAAGGTTGAGATCACGGAATTCCAGGAAAGCATGACTCCAGAAGAGTTCATGGATTGGCTCTTCATAGTAGAAGAAGTCCTTGAATTCAAGGAAGTTCTGGAAAATAAAATTGGGTCCTTAATAACCACTCAGTTTAGAGGACGAGCAGCAGCATAGTGGCATCAATTGAAGGTCATGCAATAGAGAAGAGGCATGCAATTGAAGGTCATGCAATAGAGAAGTGGCATCAATTGAAGGTCATGCAATAGAGAAGAGGCAAGGAAAATATTAAGACATAGGAGAAACTCAAGGCAAAGATGAGGTCAGAATTTTTACCCCATAATTATATTCATTTACTTTATCAAGAATTGCAAAATCTAAAGCAAGGAACTGATACAGTAGATGAATATACAAAGAAGTTTCATCTGTTAGTGGCTCGGAATGAGTTAGCTAAAATCGAAGACCAATTGGTGGCTAGGTATATAGGTGGGTTGAGACCAAATATTCATGATATATTAGACCTATTTGACTGCTATGATGTTTCTATGGCACATCAACATGCTCTAACCATAGAAAAACAAAGCAGTTGACCTAATTAATTGGGTTGAACCCAAACTAATGTGGCCAGACCACCCCCCACGTAATAATCCTAACCCGCCTCTACTTCAGCCACATCCCCGTGGGTTGAACCAAAACCAAGGGCATGGACCTAATCAAAACCAAGTGGGTCCACCTGGACTGAGGTGTTTTAAGTGTGGTGAACTAGGCCATAAATCTGTTGAATGTGTGAGGGGTGGTAAAAGAAAAGGGGCGATGTTTGTAGAAGATGAGAGTGAAACCCAATTATAAGCATTTGACTATTCAGCCCCACTCGTGTTTGACTCTTATAATGAAGAAACCTTTGAAGGAGAAATGATGTATGGGGATGTGGGAGAGACCTTGGTGTTGAAGTAGTCATTCCTATCTCCTAGGGATGAATCATCGAATTGGCTAAGAAATAATATTTTTCACACCACATGTACTATGGGTGGGAAAGTTGCAAGTTGTGTAATTGATAACGGGAGTTGTGAGAATGTTATAGCGGAAGTAGCCATCCACAAGTTGAACCTAAAAACTCAACAACACCCTCACCCCTACAAGCTTGCATGGATAAAAAGAAAGAATGAAGTTTCAATCACACAATGGTGTCTAGTGAGCTTTTCCATTGGCAGCAATTATAGTAATCGTGTGTGATGTGATGTTGTATGCATGGATGCCTGGCATTTGCTACTTGGGCACCCATGGCAATTTGACCACTACGTAGTCCATGACGGACGAAAGAATACCTAGTCTTTTGAGTTTAAAGGGAAAAGGCTGACCTTTTGTTCATCACAAGAGACTAAACTGAAACCCGATGAGGGTTCTAGCCTTTTTGCCATGACTGAATTCACAAGTGCCTTAAAAGAGACTAGTGTTGCATATGCTTTAGTAAACAAGGGGCTTGAGCTGAAAGGTGTGGAGGCTCTAGAGGAAATGAGGCCTTTGCTTGATGAATTTAGTGATGTATTTTCTGAGGACTTACCAACAGGATTACCACCATTAAGGAATATCTAACATTGCATAAATTTAACGTCGGGTGCCAGTCTCCCCAACAAGGCCCATTACAAAATGAGTCCCACTAAACATGAGGAATTGCAAAAGCAAGTAGATGAACTGATTGCTAAAAGGTTCATACAAGACAGTATGAGTCCATGTGCAGTTCCCGCTTTATTAGTACCCAAAAAGGATGGTACTTGGAGGATGTGCATTGACATCCGAGCAATTAATAAGATAACCGTCAAATACCAATTTCCGATTCCACGCTTGGATGACATGCTGGATCAGCTTTATGGGGCCAAGGTGTTCACTAAGTTGAACTTGAAATCAATCTACCATTAAATCAGAATTCATCTGGGTGATGAGTGGAAGACAGCACTCAAGACGCGGAATGGTTTGTATGAATGGCTAGTAATGCCATTCGGTTTGTCCAATGCACCGAGCACATTCATGAGGGTCATGAACCAGGTTCTCAAGCCTTTTATTAGTCAGTGTGTTGTGGTATACATTGATGATGTTCTCATATATAACACTGATATGAGGAAGTGTATTATTGCCACAGATCGGGTGTTATTCCTTGGGTATGTCATCTCAAGGGAAAGAGTTTCTGTAGACCTAGAGAAGGTTCGTGCCATTGTTGAGTGGCCCATCCCCAAAACACTTACCAAAGCACGAAGTTTTCATGGTCTTGCAAGCTTCTATTGGCGATTCATTAGCAACTTCAGCACTATTATGGCACCATATACAGATTGTATGAAAGCTACAACTAATTTTGTGTTCACCACTGAAGCAAAGAGAGCCTTCATTGAGATTAAGGCATGGTTGATAGCTACACTCGTGCTAGCCATGCCCAACTTCGAGCAACCCTTTGAGGTTGATTGTGATGCCTTTAAGGTTGGAATTGGTGTTGTTCTCAACCAAGGTGATTGGCCCATAGCCTACTATAGTGAGAAATTGAATGGATCACGCCTCAACCACTCAACCTATGATGTGGAATTCTATGTTGTGGTACAAGCGCTCCGGTGTTGGCGACATTATCTCATCTATAAAGAGTTCATTCTATATTCAAATCATGAGGCATTTAAGCATATTGGGGCCCAACATAATTTGAATGCAAGCCATACTAAATGAGCCGCATACCTCCAAGAATATTCGTTTGTGCTCAAACACAAGTAAGGTGTGCACAATCAAGTAGCGGATGCGTTCAGCTGAAGGAGAGCCATGTTATCCACATTCCAAGCACAGGTATTGAGGTTTGATACTTTTCGTGAATTATTTTTCATTGACCCTTATTTTGTTAGTATCATAGAGGAAGTGCAAGCAAGTACTAGGACGGACTTTCTGATATATGATGGCTTCCTATTCAAGGGGACCCGCCTATGTATACTTGATTGCTCATGGCAACTGAAAATCATCAAAGAGCTTCACAATGAAGGTCATTTTGGGCGAGACAAAACAATTAATCTCATCTTAGCAAGTTACTTTTGAACCAAGATGACGAGAGGCATCACAAGGTTTGTGGAGTGTTCTCACATATGCCAAGCTTCTAAGGGAACGGTAACCAATGTTGGATTATACATGCCCCTCCCAGTTCCTAAAGGATCTTAGGTAAATATATCTATGGACTTCGTTCTTGAGTTGCCACGTACCCAGTGACAGATAGATTCTATAATGGTGGTCGTAGACCGATTTCAAAAATGGCGCACCTCGTGGCATGTATGAAGACAATGGATGCCTTACTTATTGTTGGTTTATTCCTCAAAGAGATTGTCAAACTCCATGGCTTACCATCTTCGATTACTTCAAATAGATACTCCGAGTTCATATCACACTTTTGGAGAAATCTTTAGAGGCTAATGGGATCTCCTATTAGCACAAGCTGAGTTCACCTTCAATAGGTCCAAAAACAGGAGTACCGGATACAACCCATTTGAGGTAGTATATGGGGCCAACCCACGTAGCATCCTTGACCTTGCTACTAGTACTTGGCCAGGCTTAATTCATGACAAGGCTGATGATATGGTACAAAAGATTAAGAAGCTCCAAGAAGAAGTCCACAACAAGCTGGAGGTAGCCAATTCTAAGTACAAACAATATGTTGATGGAAAAAGGAGGAAAGTACTATTTGATACGGGAGACTATGTTTAGGTCATTTTAATAGAGGACTCTGCCTACCGATTGGGCAACGTGGAAAGCTAGCGCCAAAGAAGGTTGGACCATGCGAGATAGTCAAAGTCATCAATGAGAATGTGTATAGACTAAAGCTACCTAGCCATTTATGTACCCCTGATTTTTCAATATCAAACACTTGGTACCTTATTTTGGCGATCAATTAAATGATGATTTGAATCCAAGGACGGATTCTCCCCAACCCAAGGAGGATGATGCAGTATAGGAGAAGGTCAATAAGTTGGGACCATTCCAAGACACATAAGAAGCAGAGATGATGCCACCGACCCAGCTTAGTAAATATTTACCGATATAGCATCGTCACAAGATTTCTATCTTAGTTCGTTTTTACCAAATTAGCATTATTTTGGATTTATATTCAATTAGGACTTTCCTTTTGAAGGATTTTAGTAGGATTCTATTTTGGAGTATTTTCTTAGATTAGGATTTTCTTTTCTAAGGAGTTTTAGTAGGATTCTGTTATGAGTGTTTTCATATTAGGAATAGGAGCCATAAGGGTGTATGCCTATATATAGAGTAGCTAAGCGAAGGCTAAGGCAGTTCTCTTGTTATCAATTTTCTCTTAATTATTTAGTGAAGAATTCTTCTTCCTAAAATTTGATTTATGCTCTTTTCTTTGAAGCTTTTCTTACATGTCGTTTCCATACTGCATCACATTCTCATGCCAAGAACCAGCACAGAAAAAGTTTTTATTTTCTATTTCTTATTTTTTCTGAAATTTCTAATAAAACTTCTTGGTTTTTTTATTTTCTATAATTTATTAATTAATTTGTTATTTTTTATATTTGTTCAATGGTGGGAGTAGTTGGAACACCATTGGGTAGCAAGATAGTTATATTTGCATTGATGGAAGTGCTAAACATCAACACAAATTGTATTGTTATTTGCATCAGTCAAAACAAATGAGCTGAGTGCAAAGTGGGTGTGTAAATCTTGAACCACTTTGCACTCACATGAACTGGACATTTTTGTTTTGTACTCTACATAGTTGTATTCATTCTCCTTCCAAACGCAGCCTTATAGACTCACCATGTGAACTAGAATGTTTCTTTACAGACTCCAATTTGGAGTAGGTAACATACCCAAAAGAACTTATAATTGTTTGGACTTGTAACTGATGACTTATAGTCTCTTCAACTAGTATGATATATTGAATTAGCAAAAATCAGAAACATATTTCTTGACTTTAAAGTTTAGATGTCACAATAAAATGATGGTTTAACTTCTGTTGTGTTAGACATCAAAACAATTATTTGAATAGGCTCAGCCCTAAAGAGCAATTAATGTGGTATGGTCTTAAATCTTAGTATAATCATGTCCTAGATCAAGGCTGACCTCAAAACATGCATGCCCATTTGATACTCAGACATATGCTAGCTATAATCCCTAATTATACATGGCTATAAACCATTAGAAAGAAAACAAAATAGATAATTATTTATTTTAATAGGGAAATTTAATAATTGTATTATTATTTTCCCTTTTTGTGATTTAACACTTGTAGACTGTTAATCATTGTAAAGGACTGATTATTCTTGGTGTAATGGTAAAATCTCAAGCTAAACATGAGAACATGGGCTTGAATACGAAGGCAGCCACTTTGAGCCAAATAAGGCCAAATGATAGGTCCATATCCAATCTACCCCTCCCAAGACTCTAGATAATTAGGGCCACCATTGAGTAATGGCCCTTTTCAAATTGTTAAGCATTGCAGCAGGAGTGTGAGGTAGGTTGCCAGAGTTGAAGAATTTCAACTACATTGGGCTTGCATTATGGAAGAGGCTCATTTAAAATTTGACAAATGCTCAGCCCAACTTGACTCAAGTTTCACCCCTAGAACTGATAAGAAAATACACAAATCTCTAGAGTTTACAAGGAACAGACCCACAACCAATCCAATTAGACCCATTTACAATTGGCGGACCTTGAGCTACTAATCCTTTTGCTCTCTCTACACAAAATATCATCTTTTTTGGTAATGAGCTACACAACCCAAGTAATGAGTTACTAATCCTTAGACACTCCAACCCAGGTGAAGTCAGGATTCAATTTCAAGTCTCTGCTACAATTCTGTTGTGCGAGCTAGAACAGTTGCACATTTATACTTACTATATATATATATATATATATACAATGCAAGGTTGTCCACATCATATACCCTCCCTTGCTTCCATTCTCCCTTTCCCAGATTCTCCTTAAAGTGTCTCTCCTTGCTTCCATTATCCTGGTTATTTCATTATCTCTCTCTCTCTCTCTCCTTCCTTTCCCTTACCTAAGCCTCCCATCAAGCCATGTGTCAAGCCCTCCCATGAAGTCAAATTCATGTTAGAGAGGGAAATTTCTCCAAACAACTGTATATAGATAGAAAACTTACCCAATATATGATTTGCTTTTTCCCTTCCCTACCCTTTAGGGAAATTGGAGAACTGAGACTCTTCCCCTATTTTAGAGAGATCCAAATTGGGTACTCAGATAATATTCAACTTTTTTGTCGAAGACGTTGCAGAGATGTTAATTACAAAGAGCAATCATTTTTGCCTCGTCACTTAGAACTGAAAAACAGATACAGGAATAAGAGTGTAACCCATCTCTCACCGGTACGATCCTTTTCATACATTAAAATACTTCTGCTTCTACACATTGAAAAGTGTTAGCAATTCAAACTTTTCCTTTATGACACGGTGGCCTGTTAGCAGCCCTAGTGAGAAGAGTTTTAGAACTTTCATCTTAGCATTGGGTTCTAAAGTTTTTTTTCTCCAAAGCCTGATTTGATTATACACATTTAAAAAAAAAAAGACTTCCAACGAATTCACCATTTGAGAACATGGGCCTGTCCATTCAATGGCTTTGATAAAACATCAAATACATTTGGAGAGGCAAAAAAATAAAAAACAGAAAAAATATATAAGATTATGAAACAAACAGAAAAAATAAATAAAATATTGAATGCACTCACTATTGAAAGATTAGGTATTCAGACTTTTTTAAGAGAGGTAAAGACTTGAAAACATACTTTGTTGTGCCATTCAAGTGAAACAAATGGAGCAGCGTTTTCCTTCAATAAAATCACGTCCAATCGGTTGTTCCCTCCAATGAACTCGGTTGAAGTGTATCAATCGAGCAGATGAATGAGGATAATGCTGAATCCTTTTCTTGTCTATCTTCGATAAGAGCTGACCCATTTATTCTCAAAAGAACCAAAACCTTAAACCTTTGGGATTAAGGAGAAACTCAAACTTTGTGCTTGTACAGGAAGGGGAGAGACGAACTCGGGAAAGTGTAAACCTAAGCTTTGAGATTAAGGGGAAATTCCAAATTGAAGAAGAAGGGATACTCCAAGTCAAAGACTTCCAAAGGGGAGACGCAAACGCAAACTAAATAAGGAAAGGGGAGACTCCACGCGAACTCTACGTCTAGCAAGTCACTAAGACGATATTAGCGGTGCCACTTTTCAATTTTTTTTTTGTAATCTTGAACCGGTTCGGTATTGGTTAATGACCAATTTAATTTATAAAACTACCGGTACATTTGGCTTTTTGCTTAATTTAACTCAATGTCGACGGTGTTGTTAAAACCACCATCATAGACACATCTAGGCCGGTGCTTTTTAAACCGTTGGCTTACAGGAATGGGTGATTCCAATTTCAATTCTGATCCTATGTGTAAATCAAACAAACCCTAAAATATTAATAAATCAATTAATTTAAATAGGTTGAACGTTGAAGTTAAACAATAAAACATAAAACAACAAAAAATATTATTCTAAAAAATTATTAATTTAAATTCCACTTAAAAATAATAAGTCGGGTAAATTTCAGATTAGTACCCCATACTTCAGAGGTTGTTGCAAGTTAATACCTGAACTTTAAAACATGCCACTGCAATCCCCGAATTCTTGAGAACTACTAGTTTAATCCCTATTGTTAACATTCCGTCAATTATTTGTATCACGTGATGACATGTGCGACTTAATTTTTTTAAAATATCTAAATTACCCTTTAAAAAATATTGTTCATTGTCTTCTACCTGATATAGAAAAAACATATGAAATCACAAAAGTATGAAAGGAGAATAAGATAAAATCGAATGAGAATAAAATACCAAAAAGAAAATGGCAAATTTCTTAAACTACCCTTATGGTTTAGCTAATTGACTAACTCTACCTTTACTGTTTACATATTGTCTTAAAGTACCCTTAAGTTTTCTGACAATTGACTAATTATTCTGTTACCATTAGGGTACCATTACAATCCGTCATAATCAACTCGCATGCCACACCATGTGACTATTATATTTTTAAAAATGACAATAATACCCTTATCTTCACCCTTGATGAAGATGCTTGCCAGTTGAAACATTAGACTTGTACGGTACCCTTGAACTCGAGATGTTGCAGCAATCAATAGAGGGCTTATGTATTCAAAATCTCCATTGATATTCCGATGTCATTGCTCGTCGATAGTCTAAACCTATGAAGTGAAGAAGCTATACCTTCATTTGAGACTTTATAACATCACTAATTCACAATGCATGAGCTTTGGTTTGAAGCTCTGCCTTGCCTAAATCTTGCAAGGAATCACTGGTTCACGACTTAGAGTTCCGGTGGACGAATGGAATATTTCCATGGTATTGAAGTGCAAAGCCCCATTTTCTCATATTATCGGGTAACAATGAAGCTTGCTCTAAGTATTCCACCATTAGATGTAGTCCATACATTTCATCCATCATCTCTACTATGCACCTTGCTCTACCCCTCTTCTCTCCTTCCCCTCTTTGTAATCTTTGCTTTGTACCCTGTTTCTAGCACGATGATGCTTCTCTTGAATCAATGCTCTTACACGGTGAGAACTGAGAAGCCATTCCATGCTGGACCCATTTTAGGAATTGATTTACATGGTTCTAGGTTTGAATGTGTTAGCGTGAGCGAAAATGGGAGGGTGAATTTAGTAATTGTTGGGGTTCCAAATTGAATTATGACCGGGTCTTCGAAAGCCATGGGTTGGTTTCTTATACAGTAGCCAAGTGGACATCATCTAAGTTCACGATTAGGGGATTAGGATTCAGTCTTCAGTATTGGGATCAAAGGGCACTCTATGGGTGTCCTCGTCTTTCTTCTAGTTACTATAATTTCTAGGTTGAACAGATCCATTGCTAGAAGCAACATGTTAACAATTAGTAGAAGGGTCGTGTTTATCACACTTCCAAGTCTCTTCCGATGCTAATAAGGGACAAAATGAAATTGGTGTCAGCCTTGATCTTGACGTTGTCATACATGAAGAGGAACCACTCAAGGAGGCGGTTGATGAAAAACCATTGGTAAAGAAGTTGCAGTCCAGGAAAGTTGTGGAGCTAAGGATTGCGATTGGTGTTGAGGCCATGGATTTTGTTGCCTCTAGTGGCGATTGCAGGGAGCAAGAGGGGAGGTGTAAAGCTATTGTGGTGGACACGTCTCCACAAATGAAAACAAAGAGGAAGACAGTCGCGGCTAAAGTGGGCAAGCGATCAAAGAAGAAAGTCATATAGGGCATGGTTCCATTGTGGTGTTCTTAGTTCAAGGGCAACTGGTGGAGCAATTCCCGTTGTGGCTACCTGACCCTGAGGGAGGGACGATTTGTGGATATGGAGTTTGGAGTCACCACCTAAATTGTTGGGAATTGGGAATTCAGAAAAACCTGGGATTTTTTCAAGAAAAACATTTTTGTTTTCTTGGTGACTCGTTGCCCAATGAGATTCTTAGGGTCTGGGGACCAAGGTACGGTGTGGGAAGGTGTTAAGCACCCCACACATGCCCGGTTGAACCGGCCTCTACTTCACCAATGTTCCAAGGTTAATTTTATGATTTTTGGGCATTAGGAAAGAAAATTTCTAAAGGAGACTAATTAAAATTAACAAACATAGCACAAATAAGAGAAAAAGATATAGTATTACATGTAAAGGAATTTATTAGTAAACAAAATAGGAAAAGGAGCTATGAAAACTAGGAGATTGACGATTTTGTGAAAGATGTAGTAAATCCATGAATCAAATATATACAAGAAGAAAACTCAAAATAGAAAGATAATACTAGTTAGAGGATTAAATGACCAGCAAACTAGAAACACAAACCTATCTACTAAATATCCTATTTATAAAAAAATTCTAAATGCAACCTTTAAGAATGTGATCTATCAAATCTTAATGGAAAATTCCTAAAGATATTTCCTACCTTGCATGCTGAAAATAAAAAAGAAGAAAAGATGGATGGGTACGTAAACAAATGATCTAGCCTAGAAACTAACAAGTGTATTAAACTAAAAATGCTGATGGCAAAAAAAATAAAAATTAAAAATTAAATGAAGTAAATGTTAAAGGAGGTCAGGCCTAATTAATGCATATAATGGGAATGGTGGAAAAGATATAAACAATCGGTTAACCACATGAGAAGTATAATAATTGAACATATTATAAACAAATCAATTAATTAAGCCATTTTTAACACTTGGGACTAATAATAAATAGCTAGTAGTGAAAACAATCCATCATCGGTCAAACCAATAACGAAGACGTTGTAGAAATCCTTGAAAGAAACATACGACTATTTGATCAAGCCGACAAAATAAACCCTTAACAATTACTAGCAACAATGAACAGATCAAACAAATCAACCCAATATCGTAAACTCACCTTGAATATGATCGATCCAGAGGTAAGAGAAATGCATTTAGCAGCATATATATGTTTGGCCCGAGGAATGAGAAAGTGTTGTTTATGTAGACCAATAAACGATGTTGGACGCCTTCAACATTTCTGCAACAACTTCAGTCCTCAAGAATGCTTCAGCTTTCTTCTTCAATGTGGCTTGACCTAGGGGGTTTTTATACTTAAGATTAATGTGGTGGGATAAAAGGATGTGGGGAATGTGAATGGGGGAATTCTTGGACGTAAAGCGGGTATTCTCTATACAAATGAGTATAAAGTAATTGCTCTAGACTTTCTTGTGTGTTTTGGATGTGAAAAATGGGTGGTGTTTATAGATTTTTTGAGAGGGGAATAGAGGGCTGAGATGGAAGATAAGGGAGATCAATGGCTAATATTTGAATGGTTTTTGGAGGGAGATTGATTGAGATAATGGGCTATCAAGATAGCTTTGTGAGAGATTCTCTCAATCAATCAAGACAAAGAGTGAAACATTTCACCAATTTACCTAAACCGGACATTCCAAGTTTAGGTGATTGGCTTGATTAATTGAAAGCCATAATTGGTCAAATCTTAGATTTTTAAGATGTGTTAAGAGGCTGAGGGGAAGTTTGCGTCGTGGAATGCCCTAGGTTTGAAGTTATTGTGAAGAGGATTCTAAATAGAGGGCCCAGATCGAGTCTAGCTTCGAGTCTCAAGATGGAGGGGCTAACGGTGTCGGAATTGGACGATCTTGGTACGGACTCGGAATTTTGAGCTCTATCCATCTATAAGGTTGGATTTCAGATTTTATGGGGGTTAAGATTTAGGATCAGAAATGATCCCGATCGGACGATCGGAATCGGTTCTAGTTTCGAGTCTTGAGATGAAGGGGTAAGCAGTATCGAATTCGGGTGATCTTGGTGTCGTTGGATTTGGATTTTTGGGCTTTACGTACCTATGGTCTTGGATTTTGGATTTGATGTGAAATGAGGATTAGGTTTAAAATGATTCCGATCGGACGATCAAAATCGGTTTTGGCTTCGGGTCTCAAGACGAAGTGGTAAACGGTGTTGGATTTGGGTGATATTGGTGTCGTTGGATTTGGATTTTCAAGATCTATGTACCTATAGTTTTGGATTGCTAATTTGGTGTGAAATGTGGTTTAGGGTCAAAATGACTCTGATCGGACGATCGGAAACGGTTCCGGCTTTGGGTCTCAAGATGAAGGGGTAAACGGTGTTGGATTTGGGTGATCTTGGTGTCGTTGCATTTGGATTTTCAAGCTCTACGTACCTATAGTTTTGGATTTCTGATTTGGTGTGAAATGTGGTTTTGGGTCAAAATGACTCCGATCGGACGATCAGAATCAGTTCCGGCTTTTGGTCTAAAGATGAAGGGGTAAACAGTGTCGGATTTGGGTGATATTGGTGTCATTGGGTTTGGTTTTTTGGGTTCTACGTACCTATGGTTTTGGATTTATGATTTGGTGTGAAATGTGGTTTTGGTCAAAATGACTGATCGGACGATCAAAATCAGTTCTGACTTTGGGTCTAAAGATGAAGGGGTAAACAATGTCGGATTTGGGTGATATTGGTGTCATTGAGTTTGGTTTTTTGGGCTCTACGTACCTATGGTTTTGAATCCTTGAGGCCCCAACTTTTGTAAAATTCCAAAAATACCCTCAAATTGACCGCGGGATTAGTTGAAGCATGCTTGAAGCTCAAAGTGCTGCAGAAGAACTGAAGAGCGCAAAAATAGGGTGTCTACACCCGTGGCAGTCCTTT